ACCAAATTGACTTCATCACAATCTCGAGGAAGTGGCGGCGCAGCCTACTGGACACAAAAGCAAGAAGAGGAGCAGACGTTGGCTCAGACCACTACCTCGTACAAGGAACAATCCAACTCAAATTAAAAGCTTTCAGAGAAACAGGAGCTGCAGATAGACCACAAGCCAAGTTCAACACTCAAAAACTGAAGGACCAGGATACAAAGGATATCTTTACTGCAAGCATAAAGGACAAAGCTGAGACACAAATCAACATTAGCGAAGAGGTCAGCGTCGAAAAACACTGGGACAACCTGAAAGCGGTATGGAGCGAAACCTGCATGGAATTTCTGGGCAGAAAGAAGAGACAGGACAAATCGTGGCTCACTACGGACACTTGGAGGCTAATAGAAGAGAGAAGGATGGTGAAACAAAAGATTATCCAGTGCACCGACGAGCAACAGAAACAGGATTTGAATGCAAGCTACAAGACACTGAACAAAAGAGTAAAGAAGAGTGCCAGAGGAGACAAAAGAAAGTATTATGAAGCCATGGCCAATGAAGCAGAACCAGCAGCAGGCAAAGGAGACCTCGCAACACTCTACCAAACCACTAGGTACCTATCGGGCGAAAATTCGTCACAAATTAAGCCAGTGAAGAATGACAATGGAAAGTCAATCACCAAAGAAGTGGAGCAAAGGAAACACTGGGCTGAACACTTCAAAAGACTACTAAACCGACCGCCACCTACAACGCACCCAACAATACCAACGACGGAGACAGAACTACCGGTGAACATCAACCCCCCGACGAAAACAGAAGTCCTGAAGGCAATCAAGATGCTGAAAGCTGGAAAAGCAGCAGGACCAGATGGAATCCCAGCAGAAGCATTGAAAGTGCACCCAGAGACAACAGCAGACTTGATGACGCCACTACTGGAGAAGGTGTGGAAAGAAGGCAAAGTACCCAAGGATTGGAAGAAAGGATACTTATTCAAACTACTAAAGAAAGGAGACTTAAGTCAATGCAAGAACTGGCGCGGCATAATGCTCCTGTCCATCCCGAGCAAGATACTAATCCGCATCATCCTGGAAAGGATCAAACAAGCCCTGGATGAAAAACTTCGACCAGAACAAGCTGGATTCAGGAGAAACAAGTCACGTATTGATCAAATCGCCACACTACGGATCATCATTGAACAAAGTTTGGAATGGCAGTCACCTCTCTATCTCAACTTCATCGACTTTGAAAAGGCCTTCGACAGCGTCGATCGAGAGGTGATTTGGCAACTACTTCGCTACTACGGGTTGCCGCCGACAATTATACATCTCATCCAACAGTTGTATGACAACGCTGCATGCCAAGTAATCCACAACGGGAAGCTCACGGAATCCTTCGAAGTGAAGACAGGAGTAAGACAAGGCTGCCTACTATCGCCAATGATTTTCTTGATTGCAGTAGATTGGATAATGCGACAGACAGCAGGCAATGAGGAAACAGGCATAAAATGGACTCACACAAAGAACTTGGAGGATCTGGACTTCGCCGATGATATATGCCTGATTTCCCACAAACTGGAAGATATGCAAGTGAAAAGTAACAAGTTGTCAGAAGAAGCATCAAAGATAGGACTCCAGGTGAACATAGAGAAAACGGAGGTGATGAAGATTCCTGGGCAATACCAACAGCAACAACAACAACAACTGACAACAATCAGCATAAATGGAAGGAACCTGAAAGAAACTACCTCCTTTACCTACTTGGGAAGCATTGTTTCAACTACAGGCGGAACTGACGAGGATATCAAAGCAAGGATCGGAAAAGCAAGGCAAGCTTTCATTACTCTCAAGTCTGTGTGGAGGTCAACATCATTCAGCGTCAAAAATAAGATCCGGATTTTCAACTCCAATGTGAAGTCAGTACTACTATACGGATCAGAGACTTGGCGTGTCACAAAGAGCACCTCAAACAAGCTACAGACCTTCATTACCAGTTGTCTTCGCTCAATACTCAAGATCAGATGGCCGGAAAGGATCAGCAACAAAGATCTCTGGGAGCAAACCAACCAGGAACCGATTGTGAAACAAATAGGCACGAAGAAATGGAGATGGATTGGCCATACTCTGAGGAAACCATCAAGTGACATCACTAGACAAGCCATTGTTCGAGTGGAACTCGAAAGGGAAGCGACGAGTTGGTCGTCAAAGGGTGACCTGGAGGAGATCATGTGAAGAGGAGATGAAAGCATGTGGGCAGACCTGGAGCCAGGTGAAAACTCTAGCAGAGAATGGAACGCAATGGAGACGCATGGCTGAAGCCCTATGTTCCTCTAGGAATTAAAGGAAATAATAATAATAATAATTGTTCCACTGAAAAATTCACCCAAAGGAAGGGAAGTATGAAAATAGCTGAGTATATAATATCTACAAGTTTAGTCTTAAAAAACTGGTTGGAGGATTTCATCATAAGCTGACATCAGTTAGAGAACCGTTGGAAAGCCAAATGATAGTACTGGACGGATGTGTCGTTCTAACCCGAGACTCTTCATCGGTACGTACCCACCACCACGGCTCGAACCCACGAACTTCTGGTTACAAGGCTAGCGGGTACGTAGACCATTGAGCCACTGAGACCCAATTCAATGGCCAGCTCATGAATTCTAACTTCTGACAATTCATGAAATAGCGCGACCATTTCGCCATCTCTTCTTCGATGAGTTACTGACTCATCTTCAACCTGCTGTACCCTACTGGTCACTGCTTCCTCTTAGGATCGCAGGTCACTGCCTGAATACAGCCAGTCGCCTGTGAGCATCAGATCGATTTTTCAAGCATTGGGTTTTAGGGATTTGCTTGATTGGTCTAAGGATTTTATCATTAGCTGACATCAGTTAGAGAACCAGAATTATTTTGATGACAGATATTTGGAGGCAAATGGAGGGAAGCCTTGCCTGACGTAAATTTTTGCTAGTTAGCATTCACCGGTCAGCAAAGCGTATCTGCAACTTCGCACCATCCAGTTCTGCCTGTAGTCACAGACGTTTCAACTGAGGTATTCAGGTGAAGTGGTCGCGCTATGTCATGAATTGGAAGAAGTTGGAATTCATGGACTGGCCATTGGATCGGATCCTAGTGACTTAATAGTCTACGAGCTCGCCAGCCTTGAAACCCGAAGTTCCATGCTTTGAACCCTGTCGGTGGAATTGTACTGACAAAGAGTCTCAAACTAGGACAAAACAGCTGCCCAGTACTCTTTGCTGCTTTTAAATGGTTCTCTAACTGATGTCAGCTCGTGATGAAATCTTTCGACCAATGAAATAACCAACGTTGTTGATGAATATCCACTTCATTTCCAACCTGATGGAATCCATTAGTCATGAATTCTCACAAGAAGTTCAGGTTATGCATCCTGAAAAGAGTTGCTAATAATCAGATTATTTATATTCAGATTTCAAGTTTGTAGGAATTTCGATTACCCTAAGATTAATCAGGGGAAAGTTCTTCGGCGCGTGCTGCTTAACAGTCCCATACTATGGTAGAATATCTATCGAAAGTTCCCCAATATACAACACTTTTCTATGAACTGATTTCAATTATTGACGAAATGTGCAGTGAATTAAGAAATTTTCATTAGTCTCACATTAAGACATATACAGATTTTTACCACTGTCACATCCGACTAATTCTAAAGTTATGTATAACTCTAGCAACATTTTCTAATCATCTGCATTCTTAATGAAAAATAAGGATCTTTAAGCTTTTAAGTTTCAGCGGCCGTAATGCCATTTCTATTGAATGGGGTTACCAGTCTCATACACCGGTCTTCCCTCTTGTTTTGTGCGTTCCGTCAGTTAGGTCAGTCGGGGATTGAACTCTGACCAATGTGAATGGCTGGCAAGTATTCTACCAATCAACCCTAATAATAATAATTTTGACAAATTATTCAATCCGTTTTTTTAAATTTCAATTTACAATATCAAAACAAGATTTTGAGCGAACAATTGTTTTCGATAACTTCTTCTTCAGTCTCTACAGTTATAAATCCATGAATAATAGAGTACATACAGCCAATAAAGGCAAATGAAAATATTGTCAGAAACTGTATTGGGGTGCATGTGTAAGTTGAGATGATAGTCCATTAGTTAACATAGTCAATCAAATATGTAACAATGAGGTGAAATAAACTGGGTGGAGAAATGGATAATGAAGACATGATACCACAAAATGATAATAATGATGATAATAATAAAACCGAAAATTATGATCCTGGTGACCTTATAGTGGGCCAGGATAGACAGAGAGTGAATAAGTTTTTTCTGTACACATAAATCTGGTCTCTCTCTATTAATCTCTAGAGCCTCAGCTATGGCTAGGAGGCGTAATCATGTGCCTTTGGGGAGATTGTTCGGTACTCGATACACGATTATGCCTCCTAGCCATAGCTGAGGCTCTAGAGATTAATAGAGAGAGACCAGATTTATGTGTACAGAAAAAACTTATTCACTCTCTGTCTATCCTGGCCCACTATAAGGTCACCAGGATCATAATTTTCGGTTTTATTATTATCATCATTATTATCATTTTGTGGTATCATGTCTTCATTATCCATTTCTCCACCCAGTTTATTTCACCTCATTGTTACATATTTGATTGACTATGTTAACTAATGGACTATCATCTCAACTTACACATGCACCCCAATACAGTTTCTGACAATATTTTCATTTGCCTTTATTGGCTGTATGTACTCTATTATTCATGGATTTATAACTGTAGAGACTGAAGAAGAAGTTATCGAAAACAATTGTTCGCTCAAAATCTTGTTTTGATTTCAATATGGGGATATTTCATTTACTGAAATTTACAATATATCAAATTCATCCCTATCACTTGTCATCATTTTCCTTCGTCCTCTAAAGAGATAGAGCGCGCGCGAGAGAGAGAATGATAGCATACTAATACAAAATCTGTAGTTGATCTCACAGAAATAAATAAAAAAATCAAAACAAACTGAGATTAAAAGCTGAAAATAAAATCTATTATTGATGAGTTCAATAACTGAATTACTACATAAACATAGATGAATTATTCACAAGGGAAAAATGAAACGTTGACAAGTGTATGTATAAATGAATATTGCTCAAAGCTTTAAGCAATAATGGCAGCAGCAGCAGTAGCAGAACTTATATATGTATGTATGTCTTTATACATTGAGGAAACAAAAATTTGTTATGATGCGATGAGATAATAGTAAGTGAAGAGTCTCTTATATCATGAAAGATACTCATTCATTTGAAACAACTGAAATGCAACTAGATCACAGATTTCTTGTAAATGACAAGTGAATAAATAAATGAATAAATAAATAAAAATGAAAAGTGATTATGAAAGACTAAGTAAATAAATAGTAAATTAAAATCTACTTAAAAATGAATAATTCTAATTGAAACGAATAACAGGTTTTTTACAAATGATTTTATACTACTGAAATACAAGACTAAGTAGTTTACTAAAGAAAATAAAGACTAAAATGATCACTAGAAACTGGACAAAAAAACAATCCAAATTTTTAGCAGCGTAAATGCACATTATTACAAGAAATAAACGACGACACAACTAGACTTAACTTTTAAGTTTTCTTCATTAATATAGACTGACTTTTAGGAGATAAAGGTGGGATTGGTATGTTATTCTCTTGTAGTAATTGTTCCAACTGTTCAATACGTTTTTGTGAGACAGTTTGTGCTGCTTTTAAACATTTTACTGTTCTTTCATGAGTAGCAGTCACAGAGACAACAATAGCTGTGAGAAGAAAAGAAAAAAACAAGTAGGCATGAAAATCAAAGATATTATTAAACTAGTTTTACATTAAAGTCAATTGGTGGATGGTGACTAGCAGTGAGATCCAACATGCGCATTTCGTCCTATTTGGGCTCGTCATCTGGATGTACCTGCATTCCCCAGTGAGTGATGGTGTTCCCACTGAGGCTCGAACCCAGTACCCATAGTTTCAAACGCCAAAGCATCATCCACTAGACCACTTGGGCCACGAGAGCCACCTCTTGTGCAACTGGTCATATTAATTATTTAATTTAATTTTACATTTTCCCGTAGACTGATTGGACCAAAGTGGTCGGTGGCAGGTTGACATGTTGGCTCCTTGTGCAGATGCTTTGGCGATGTCTTGTCATGTAACTTGAAGTCAACTGAGACCGAGCATTTGGGTCCAATCAGTCGACGGGAAAATCTAAAATTGAATTAAATAGTTTTACATTGCTTACATGTTTAGTCACGAGCTGATATCGATTATAGAACTACTGGAAAACTAGGGAGTACTGGGTAGCTGATCTTCCTAGTTTGGGACTCTTCAAAAGTACGTGCCCAGATCATATATTGTGATCTGAAGAGTTTCGGTTTCCAAACGAAATTGTGGTGAAATTTCACCTTGCACTGCGTAAATAACCAACCATGAATTAATTTGAGACTCGTGAATTTCATTCGATGTATTACTAGGTCTCCCAAGTAGCTATTCAGAATTCCAGTGGTTTGAACTGGTTCACCTTTCTGCGCTAAATATAAACAGGGTACACTACCATGATGAGTTCTGTCTCAAGAAGAGCTAGACGGCCATTCGGTATTTAGATCACTTCGACCTGGCTGGCTAGCAAGTACTGTAGGTTGATGTGAATGGTGTCCAACTAATCGTGTCAGTCAGTAAGCAGTATACAGCGTAATGCATTAATTAGTGATATCCTCAACGATATTTATGCTGTTCAACAGATCGTATATTTTATACTAACTTCCGGTTTGTAACCTTCACTTGTGTATTTCATTCTAGATGATAAACCCCGCTAAGTAGGATATTTTCTAGGACATAATTACCAGTAATTAAATTACAAACAAAATAGCCATGTGATGTTGATTAAGACGATCCACATCATCAAAGAATATTCTTTTCTCAACTCTAATGCAAACCTATTTATTACTATTATTGTTTCCTTTAATTCCTAGAGGAACATAAGGCTACAGCCGCACGTCTCTATTGCATTCGGTTCTCTGGCAACATTTTCACCTGGCTACACGTCTACCCACATGCTTTCATCTCCTCTCCACATCACCTCCTTCTCTATGTCACCCTCGCACTGAAGAACAGCTCGCTGCTTCTTATTCGAGTTCCACTCGAGTGATGGCCTGGCGTGTGATGTTATTTGATGGTTTGTTTTCTCAGAATATGGTCACTTCACCTCCATTTCTTTCTGCTTATTTGTTGCACAATTGGTTCCTTCTGGGTTGGTTTGCTCATTCCCAGGGATCCCTGTTACTGATCTTTTCTGGCTGGCCATCTGATCTTGAGTAGTGTTGAGCGAAGGAAGCTGTTGATAAAAGTCTGTAGTTTGTTTGAAGTACTCTTCAAGACGCTCAGTGCAAGTCTTTGATCCTTATAGTAGCACTGACTTCACATTGGAGTTGAAAATGTGGATCTTATTTTTCATGCTAAGTGCTGTCGACCTCCACACAGACTTAAGAGAAATGAAAGCTTGCCTTGCTTTCTCGATCCCCACTTTTATATCCTCGTCAGTTCCGCCTGTAGTTGAAACGATGCTTCCCACATAGGTCGGTAGGTAAAGGAGGTTGCTTCTTTCAGATTCCTGCCATTTATGCTAATTGTTGTCTGTTGTTGGCCAGGAATCTTCATCACCTACTTCTGTTTTTCCTATGTTCATCAGAAGTCCTATCTTCTCCGGATGCTTCTTCTGCCAACCTGTTACTTTACACTTGCATATCTTCCAGTTTGTGGGAAATCAGACACATATATCATCGGCGAAGTTTAGATCCTACAAGTCGTTTGTGCGGATCCATTTTATACCTGTTTCCTCGCTGCCCACTGTCAATTCAAACCTATACAGTCAGTCATATACTGGTTGCAGAAACGCCTATAAAGGTCAATCATTAATATGAGTTGGTAATCGAAATATGAAATATTAGATGTCACGAAAAAATGATGAATGAATTACGAAAACTTAGCTAAGTAATCTTATGTGTAATCTAGAAGCACTAACTAATGAGTATCACTCAGGAATGGTCACCAATAAAATGGCAAGCACTTGGAAACAGGAATATTATTCATATATATATATATATATATATAAGAGTAGGTTACTAACATTTAACTAGTGAATACAATTCAGTAAAGATTTTAATTATTAACGCAACATTTTCTGTTTTTCTCTTGTAGACTTTGATGATAAATATTTTCTATAGTTTGGTTTTTAAGGGTTAGTTTTGTTTTTACGAGTTGATCGCGGCGAAGTTAGAATTCATGGACCAGTGAATCGGGTCTGTCTGTCTCTGTCTGGATTCAACATAGAACTTGGCACTGAAGTGCACCAGTTCGAGTTGCCACGTTCCATATAGCACACAAAGGTGGACAAGAAAATGAGTGAAGAGAATCAATAGACTTTTGACAAGTATAAGAGTGAAACAGAATGAGTAATGGTAGAAAGGAATATGAAAGATTACAGAGACTGAATACATCTGCGTAAGCCATTGACAACGATTTTGAGCCATGTCACCTATTGTGTCCAGCCATTGATTCTTAGAGTCCCGAGGCGGGCCCCAACCCGGAAGCCTGCATCTCCCTACCTGACTCAGTCTAACTGTCAAGGATTTCATGGATTGATGCCATGCTTTTTTTTGGCCACCACTTACTTTTTTCCAACCTGCACCTATATCAGCTAGTAATGCCCGTCGGGGGAGGCGATGGTTAGACATGCGCAGCACGTCACCTAGCCATCTCAATCTATGTAACTTTATAGCCTCGTCGATTGATTTTCCCTCTTTGCCTAACAGTCTACACCTAACGTCAAAATTAGTTTCCTTATTATACAACCTGACGTGAGAAAGAGATCGTATTGAATTGAGTTTCAGTGGCTGAATGGTAAACGAGCCTGCCTTGTAACCAGAAGGTCCTAGGTTCGAACCCTCTTGGTAGGTGCGTACTGCTGAAGAGTCCCAAACTAAAACTGAGGAAACAGCTGTCCAGTACTCTCTGGTTTTCAGTGGTTCTCTAACTGATATCAATCCGTGATCAACTCGTATAAAAGATAAATATTTTCTTGTTCTCAGCTGAGAAAATATTTATCCAGCTCAAGTTCACTGTGAAAACAGAAATTGTTGCTTTTTTTAAAATTAATCTTTACTGAATTCTCTTCACTAGTTAAACTTGAACACCTAACACTCTACCCAATAATTAATTTAAGGTGATTGTTTTAAGAGAAAATTTTAATATACACTTGTAAGTTTTTCAGTTGATTTCAGGTCATTTCTTTAGGACAATGAAGAAAGTAATAAGCAGAAAATAATAATTAATTCAAATAGATGGAGAGAAGTTAACAGTGAATAATCTTAGATAACTATGCTTATTGTGTCAGGCTAGTGATTCTACAACTTTTTTTCTTCATTTAATAAGGCAGTAATATGAGACAATAGAAGAATATGATAAAGTAGTCATTTTCCCTTAGAAATAAGGTTACATGATCAAAAAGAACAAAGAAATTTGATAATAAAATTGACATGATAAAGGAATAAGAATCTATCTCAGTCATTAGATTTGTATTTAGCTGTGTTTCAGACCTCATCTAGATTTCCTATTCTTCTCTAAAGGATATGGACAGGAAAGTCACCTGCTTTTTGGATTATTATGACACTAAGATATAACTGGTTCAGATGTCTGACAGTAAATCAACCAAAGACCACGTACCAGATAAACCCTTGAGTGGAACCCAAATTAGAATCGAAGAACTGGGCATCGGGGTG